CTCAGGGGGTAGTCTGATAGGAAATTTGAAAAATATCATATTTTTGCTTTAACATATTTTATGCCACTAACCATGTACATAAATATGTCTATTTTCATTAGCAGTTTACAACTTTAAAATCCGATCAATAGAACCTGAGATAATTTGATTACAAATGGGTGTGTGTGGGTAGCTCAAGGAGACAATTTTGACAAAAATTTCTATAAAAAAGTTTTTTTTCTTTATATGGTTCTTTTCAATCCAAAACAATGAATCACTCCCCTTTTCTTTGGTCTTACTATAAGGATTTCTCCCCTTACTTGCATCAAAGCATTTCCGTTGACAGAAGCTGGAAATTGTATGATTTGTGAGTTATTATCGAGTTATTTGTGTCAATACTTAGTTTAGAATTATGCCATCATTTCCAAAGCAGAGGAGTAAAGTTGCAAAGAAAAGGAAATTTAGAGGAAATCAGTTTACTTCTGCTTCAAAGCAACCTAAACTGGTGGTAGACATTGAATTGCAGCCTCGTGTTTCACCAGCTGACGCTTGCCGAGTTTCTGAAGACAAAGAAAATAATCTGATTTCAGAATCTCTTAGTGCCACGCCCACTACATCAGAAAATAAACTGTTTATGGACAGCATTATGAATGAAGATATAGAGGATAAACAAGAGTGTTCTGATGACTTTAATAGTGACAATGAAAGTGAAAATGGTCATTTATCTGAACTTGTTCCCTGTGGCAACAGAATTATTGATATGTACATTTTGTGTGAGAATATTTCATCACAATTAGTGTGTGCAAGTTGTCATGAAAGTGTCAGATTAGTTGAAATTCAGAGGCAAGGTTTAGGAAGTAAACTTGAATTTCACTGCAACAATGAAAGATGTTCTGGACAAAAGGCTTTCCCTACATGCGAACAAATCATTGTAGGTAATAGGACAGTCAGTAGTATAAATCAGCGTGCTGTTTTTGCAATGCGAACTATTGGCTGCGACAGATCTGAATTGCAGACATTTTGCGGAATTATGGATTTACCACCACCTGTCAGCAAAAGCACATATAGTCTTATTAATAAGAAAATAGAGACTGCAGCAACAGAGGTACAGACTACATCTATGAGAAATGCAGCCATGAATGAATTTTCTTTAGCTGAATGTTTAGAAAATAAGGAACAGATGGATGACATCCGTCATATTGATGTGTCATCAGATGGGACTTGGATGACCCCAGGACACTCATCAGTGATAGGAGTTGCCACAACTACTGGTTGTCAAACAGGCAAAATACTTGATACAGGGACACGATGTAAGCAATGCAAGTCTTGTGACGTTTGGAAAAGAAGAGATAAAAGTACGACGAGGTATATTAGATGGGCTACAGAGCACAAGGACATATGTACACTCACACATAAGGGTTCTTCGGGATCGATGGAGGCAGAAATAATCAAAGATATTTTTGCAAGGTCTGTGACAAATTATAATCTTAGGTATACCAGGTTTATAGGCGATGGAGATACAAACACATACAAAGCAGTAGTTAATTCCAAACCATATGGAGATATACCGATTGATAAAATAGAATGTGTGGGACACGTACAAAAAAGAATGGGCACCCGTCTCCGCAACTTAAAAAAAAAAAGCATGAAAGGAAGAAAGTTAGAAGACGGAAAAGGCTTAGATGGAAAAGGAAGGCTTACAGATAAACAAATTGATCAGATTCAAACAATGTATGGGAATGCAATTCGTAGAAATAAAAACAATCTTACTGTGATGAGACAACATGTGTGGGCAGTCTATTTTCACAGACTTTCAACTGATGGAAATCCTCAACACAGTATGTGCTCACCTGTGTGTCCTTATAAGAAGGCTGAATCAGAAAACAAGTTAGATTCTTACAAACATAAATCTAGCTTGCCCACAGCAGTTATGGATACCATAAAACCCATCTTTAGGAATCTTGCACATCCAGATCTTTTACGCAAGTGTTTAGAAGGTTATACACAGAACGCAAATGAAAGGTGCTAACAGCCTCATCTGGAAATATTGCCCTAAAAAAAAAGCTCATGGACTGACTACAGTAAAAAAAAAAAACAGCTGTTTCAATAGCAGTGAGTGTATTCAATGATGGTGCTAAGACATTCTTGGATATTATGAGGGAACTGCAGCTCATGTTTGGACAGTTTGCTAAAGACTGTTTTCTGCAAAAGGATATGCGACGAATAAAAAATGCTCAACGGCGAGCCAAAGCAGCATCACATGCAGCCAGAATAGCTAGGAGGCGGAGTAGACTTACTAGGGATGAGAAGCAGGCCCAAAAGGAAGGATTACCATACTAACCTGGAGGATATTAGCTCATTTAAGCCGAGTAAGTACCATTTTTCTCTCTCAAAACTGTCCGAAAACTTTGCCAAAATTTAGGGGGTGTGACTAACTTTTTGGTGTTTTTTTCTAAACTATTGGAGATAAATTATTCAACTTTGGTACACAGCTTTAAAACAATAACAGCTATGATTCCTAACACCAGCTTTGAGAAATATTTGATGCAAGTTGAATTATGAGTATTTTAATTTCATAATTTGCTAGTCATTTTAGCCCAAATTTTACAACTTCATAACTTCAAAACTATTGCTAGTACAAACAAACTAGAGGTAGGGAATCTAACTGTAGCAGTGAACTACTCTGACTCCAAAACTCAGGACTCCTGTTAGGTTAGTTTAGAAAATATCTGTATAAGACTAACATCAATTTTTTTTTTTTTTTTACTCTTACATTTTTTTCAATTTAATAATAATTTGGCACGTTTAAACACGTTTGCAAAAAAAAAAAAAAAAAAAAAAAAAAAAAAATGGCAGATTAGTGAACTGTCATGTATCAAGCATAAGCTCACCAAATTTCAAGAAGATATTTTAATATTTAGTTGGTTATTCATCAAAAACAAAACGGTACCCATTTTTTTCACATTTCTGACCAGACTACCCCCTTAATCCAACGTTTTGTGCTCCTGGGAACAAATTTCTTCTTAATGTTCCGTTGAACGTCCTCTTTTTTCAGACCCTTCGTTTTCCACTTTAGTGCTCGATTTGCAATTTTGTGCTTGTTTTGTAATTCTTTGCTAATTTGGTCTCAGTTGTGTCCAGTATGTTTTATTGCAGTCGATACCAATATTTGTCTAGTCATTTCTCTGATGTTCCCACTTTTTTTAAAAATTCATCCTATTTTGTGTTTAATATTTTCTTAGTCATTTATTTTCCCCAAATGCATTCAACTTTCGTTAGATATCTTTAGTGGTTCGCCAACTTTCGCTGGCGTATGTTAGAATTGAAATTACGTTAGAATTGAAGATGTGAAGCTTGGTTGTAGGGCAGTTGAAGTTTGTTTGATTTTATTATAACCTATTTGTTTGTGACCAGAGTTTGTATCATTTCGTTATGGTCTTGTTATTACAGTACATTTTGTCTTATCTTGATTGATAACTAGCCCTTTTTTTAGCTTCCTGTAACTGAGTTAGTGTTTCTACTATCTATAACTTTCTTAACTATATATATCTTTCTCTTCTTTCTTTTGTCAAAATCTGCTTGTGCCGCTAGGCGTCGCAGTCTATCAGATGATCGGCAACCGAGCCAGGGCGCGCTCAGTCGCTTCATATGCCGTGATGTTATGAAGTCTCAAGTTGTCCGTGACTCCTTCAATCCATATTCTTCTTGGTCTTCCCCTGCCTCTTGGTGTTTCGAATTTCATGTTGTATGCTCTTGATGCTGGCATCGTTGGTTCCATTCTCATTAGGTGACCAAACCATTTCATTCTTTGCTTCTCAATAAATTTAACGATGGGTATGGTTCCAATAGTTCTTGTAATCACATCGTTTCTCACTCGATCTCTTCTGGTTTTATTCGCAGCCATTCTCAAACATCTCATTTCACAGGTGGTTAGTCTTCTCTCATGTTCTTTTGTTAATGTCTAAGTCTGAAATTGATAACCTAATGTCGGTATAGAGATTGTATTTATAATTTGTCTTTTTATTTCAGCTGGGACAGCAGGGTGTTTTAAAATTGGGGCAAGCTGGTATGCGACATTGTTGGCTTGTTTGATTCTTGCTTCGATCTCTCTGTCTATTTTACCATTGAATGTAAAGATACTTCCTAAGTATTTAAATTCTTGCACTTGTTTTAGGCTGTGATTTAGAATCTTTATGTCGGTGGTCTGTTGCTCTCTACTTATGCTCATGACTTCTGTCTTTTCAGTATTGATCTTCATATGATGCTTGAGGCAACTGTCGTGTAGTAGGTTTATGTGGTAACTATATCTATGCTATCTGCAAATCAAGTTATCTCTGAATGGTTTAATATTCCATAGTTATATTTGTTTCATGCAGTAAATAGACCTAAATGGTTAAGAGACAGAAACAACAACTACAAAAAAAAAAAAAAAAAAAAAGGAGGGGGATTGGGGGGGGGGGGGGGGGGTGGGGTGAGGGGGGGGGGGGGTAGAAGTCAGAGAATATTTTACTTACTCTGAAGTAATCATTAGGTCACACAGATTTGGCAATCAATAATTGAACCACTTGGGAGCGCCATTACTGACATCTCTGCCTAACTCAGCGGTTCTCAAACTATGTGTCACGACCCCTTCGGGTGCCTAACGATCCTTTCGCAGAGGTCGCCTAATACGTTTGGCAAAAACATATTCACAGAAGTTATACTATAGTAACGACAATTTTTTTATGGTTGTGGGCTTACCACAACATGAGGAACTGGGTTAAAGGGTCGCCGCATTAGGGAGGTTGGGAACCACTAGTTCAACGATATAACAAGGCAATTTCAGTAAATTGCCACGATGAAATGGGCATTTTTTTTTTCTTCACAAGTTTTTAAGGCTAAGCGTTTATAAAGAACCCCATTGTTGTTTCCTATAACTATAAAACCCTTCACAGCGGTATGCTGTAGCGCTACTGTGTGCTTTCATTTGTCTCCGTCAGCATCGTTTAGTCAAGCGCTCTGTAGACCGCTTTTCAGTAGAAATGTCAACAGAATTCAACAACAAAGTTGTTATAGTAACAGGTTCCAGTGCTGGATTGGGTGAAACTATTGCCATCTTGTTTGCCTCCAGAGGGGCCAAAGTCACGCTTTGTGGACGCGACGAAGGGAGGTTGCGATATGTGCTGGACAAAGTCGTAAAGGCCGGTGGTAATAGGAAGGATTCATTTCTTGCAGTTCCCGGAGATTTGACCGAAGCCAAAGTTCGAAAGGAAATCATTGACCGCACAATTGAGAAGTTCCATCGGCTGGACATTGTAGTTGCCAATGCTGGGGTTGTGGGAAAGAACAATTTGTTTCTTGAAGAAACTGAAGACAATTATGACACAATTCTCAACACCAACCTAAAGTCGGTGTTCTTTCTCATTCAGCAAGCTGTACCACACCTGGAAAAGTCCAAAGGAAATGTTGTCAACATCTCCTCGATTGCTTCACACCTGGTATTTACACCTTTAATGACCTACTCTTTAACAAAAGTAGCTCTTGATCACCTCACAAAGTGTTTGGCCGTTGAACTGGGTCCAAAGGGGATACGTGTGAATTCAGTCAACCCTGGTTACTTTCAGACGCTAATCTTCAGACATGCAAAAGATCCGAAACAAATCAATGAGCAATTCGAGCTTAGCCAGAAGGACATGCAACCACTGCAAGGAAGAAGAGGCGTTTCAGAAGATGTGGCCGAAGCAGTAGCATTTCTGGCATCGGACGCTGCAGGTTTCATCACCGGTGAGCTAGTTAAAGTTGATGGCGGGAGAAATTTCGTAGGCACTTCTACGTTTGCTTCACCGGGAAAATAATGGAACCGCATGTGAATTCATTCTCATGTTTGAGAGATAATTTCGAGTTTTGCTAGATTTGTAAGCGTGTTGCTAACACACACACACACACACACACACACACACACACAAACACATAAAGCTCTTTGTTCATTGTTCATTTAAAGATCTTAATGGCACATCGGACATAACAACGAGTGCTTCGATCTCCTCCTGCATATGTCTCTATGAGTTTTTAGGCTAAGAACTTCCATTTTGTCGTGGTTGATGTGACGACGGGCGGCTTCCGTATGGTTATCCTGTCTCGTTACTCCAGTTGGTACACCCAGGGTATACATCTATCTAGTGAAGAATCATTTCCCACGAAACTGAAAGCAACTCAAAACTGAGTATATATGTGTGCATAATTTGTTATTCCTTTCGTTGGGTTTTAGTCTTTGGAAATGTCTTTTATATCGTGTACGTTTACTTTTATGACACAGCCTCACCACTTAGTACTGCAAGTTAACCCATGCTGCTGTCACCGTTA